TTAAGAAATGTATTCAAAGACTATAAATTCTTAACTGTGACGTGTATATATATACTAGAAATATGTGTTTTTGTCAAAGACCATAAATATTTGTTTTGTAAAAAAAGTGATACTAAGCACAATCTACGTTCGCAACATAAATATAATATGTGTGTTGTAAAACCCTCTAGTTACATTTATGAAAAAAGTACATACGTAACTGGAATAAAAATATTCAATCGATTGCCAAATAATATAAAACAATTAGAGGGAATCAAATTTAAACGAACGCTCAAAGACTGGTTATTTGACAAATCTTTTTATAATTTAAATGAATATTTTAATGTAATGTAATGAATAATTTTATAATAACTGACATTGCAAAATAATAATCCAATTAATAATTAATTATGTTTTTGACAATTTATATTGTACGTCCGAAATGGATAAATTGTGTACTTTAGCATTATGTGCCTTTTATGTACCACCACTGTATCAACACAATTAACAATAAATGCTTATCTTATCTTATCTTATCTAAAAAAGCGAAGGTAATAGCCAGTTTTTTGCGGAACAAATTAAAAGCAACATCCTATCATAAAGGGACATACATATTTCGGAGAAGTATGAATTTTGAAGTTACATAAAACCTTATACGATTGCTGTCAATCTGCATGAGAATTGGACTCGAAATGCTTCAAAAATACATGATTTAAAATACGAGTAAATATGTACTTTATACCAACCGGGCAACATGGAAAGCATTGGGGGAGGCCTATGTTCAGCAGTGGACGTCCTATGGCTGAGATGATGATAATAAAATACTTTATCCGATTAATGTCTTTGCCCCATCAATACTTAAAATTGTATTGTCCTCATCGCACCGTATAAACGGTCTCTAGACCCGTTGCAGTAGTTATCAATCTAATCGCCTGATCGGCCGCTAGCCGCAATCGCATTCTAGGTTTTAGAGGGAGCTGCAGCCGTGTGGGACGATGTTACGTAGTGCTTAATCATAGATTGTAATCCTAATAGAAAGTGGGGGCGATTCCGAGGTATTTGAAAGGAAAGATTCGACTCTACATTCATAATTTTTGGAAATTCGTCAGAATTTTTCACGCTATAAAGACAGCGAGGAAAAATTGAGATTTTATTTTAAAATTGTATCGTTTCACGTGTGATTGTTAAGGAAAAAGGAGGGGTAAGACTAAAGTTCTTGAGGGCTTAACACTATCTAAACAAAACACAATCAGCACGATATCGTAAGTGCATCTGTGACAATTTATTAGAACTTAGTACATAAATTGTCCCCCAAAATTTGATATTAAAATATAGCTTTCCCGAGTGCCCGTAGTTAGATAATTTATTGTATTGTGGACAAAACAAACGAAGACGGTAAGCTGGCTCTGACGCGCGCTAAATCACGAAACTAACCGATTACGTTGTCCAATGTACAGACGGCAGATCAAGCTGAACACTCTTATGTAGTTGTGATAGAGACGATTTTGGAACAAAAATGTAGAGTCTGATGTGCTGTCGACGGTACAACTATCTATTGTAATACCGGCTGGCTCGGATCGCACTTGATCGCACGTGCTCGGACATTCGCACTATTATTCAATGATTTAAACTTAAAGTAATAAAAATATTTATTTGTGAAAAGTTACAGTCGATTGCCGTAGGCTGATAGCAGATAGCTGATGAGTTCTTGAGCAGAGATCGCGTGTTATCAAACGAAACTAAAGAGCAATTTAAGTACTTGCAAGAATCTATTCTTAGAATTAGATTCACCTTCGACGTTGCCTGTCAGTGCCAAAATGGGATCACTGCTGGATAAAGGCCTTCCTCAAGAATTTGGGTGCTTTCAAATGCTTTTCACAGAGACTCTTACTAAATACTAATTAAGGGCCGATATACCCAAAGAAAGATGGTTAAAAAAGTCGGATGATTTTTGTTAAGCAGTGGATTGCTCTGACCATGTTTATTTCATAACTAGCTTACCGCAGCAGCTTCGCCCGCGTGGAATTTTGTCTGTCACAGAAAAACATTATCGCGCGCGTCTCTGTTTCAAAAACCGTGATAAAAACTATCCTATGTCCTTTCCCGGGACCCAAACTATCTCTATGCCAAATTTTATCAAAATCGGTTCAGTGGTTTAGTAGGCGTGAAAGCAAGACAGACAATCAGAGTTACTTTCGCATTTATAATATACATATAGATTAGTATAGATTAATTGCTACGTAATCCATTGGGGTTATAAGTATACTGTTTAATAATTAGGTCAAGTATAGATATATTTCGCCAGGTGCTATAAAGAGGGCCCGGACAAGGAGATTGATGTCGAAAGTAATTAGAACGCACGGAGACTACACAAGCGGTATCGACCATCCATTGCGGTGCCGCCAGGGGTGCATGCATGGAATTTGGAAGACTACTTGGAGTAAGGTCTTTTCTTTAAGACCATTTCAATTCTTCACAGCACTGGCCCATTTATTGTCCTGAAGCAGTGGTAGGGTTAGTACTGGTACGTGTAAAAGTGCTTTTTTAAAGCCTATTTACAGAAATAAATGAGTTTAATGAGTTCAATAAATCGACGTTGTCATACCTATCTCAACATCCCAATTTAGTGTATTCTTTCTACATACAGACTGGTATGTCAGCATGCAGCCCAAACTACGCATGGGATTAGTAAAACTCATAAAACTCATTTATTTCGGTAAATAGGCTTAAAAAAAGCACTTTTACACGTCCCAGTATTAACCCAACCACTGCTTCAGGACAATAAATGGGCAAGTGCTGAGAAGAAGCAGCGCAAGAAACTCAGTCACTATTGTCAGCCTCTTTTTTCAAAGGTTTACAGGCTTTAAAATATTATACAAAGTTATAAGTCACCCAAAGAGCGATAGAGCGTGCTGTGCTCGGAGTTTCCCTGCGTGATCGAATCAGAAATGAGGAGATCCGTAGGAGAACCAGAGTGACTGAAATAGCCCGCAGAATCGCTAAAATCAAGTGGCAGTGGCGGGGCACATAGCTCGGAGGGCTGATGGCCGCTGGGGCAGGAAAGTTCTTGAGTGGCGACCACGAGCCGGAAGACGTAATATTTATTCTAAAATTGAGGGCATCTGTACTGAAAGTGTTGGTACTAGTAGGTTAAAGGCACAAGTTTGTAGCTGACTCCACACAGCAGCAGCGACTGTGTCACACTATGCCTCACTATGAAATAGCATTTCATAGAAATACATAGAAAGCAGTGTGTTGCGACGACGCATAAAAACATTAATTATTTATAGGATATCTTTATCCAGCGCGGCAGCCCTGGCCCGGGCGCTCGCATCGTCACCGATTGATTAATCGTGCTCGCCAAGATCGACAGTGAACTTAATTGAAAAGTCAACATCCCATCGGTTATTACGATATGTCCGGTTAATTCGTTATTTGTGGACCAATTGCTCGAACAGTTCGTTTAAATTAGGGCTTTCTTTTACGATGGATGGGAACGCTGTGTTCTGGATATATCCTGTTTATTTAAAACTAGTGGCCGCCCGCGACTTCGTACGCGTAGATCCCGTTTTACCCCCTTAGAGGTGGAGTTTCGTAAAATCCTTTCTTAGCGGATGTCTAAATCATAACATCTACCTGCATGCCAAATTTTAGCCCGATTCGTCCATTGGTTTGGGCTGTGTTGATATATTACTATGTCAGTCAGCCAGTCAGTCAGTCACCTTTGAGTTTTATATAGATAGTGGGAAATTTCTTTGGCATGGATTTTGAAGAAGACATTTCAATTAATATTATGCTGGGTGCAGGCTGCTACCAACCGGGTAATATGGAAATTATTGTGGGAGGTCTATGTTCAGCAGTGGACGTCCTGTGGCTGAAATGGTAATGATGATGATTTCAATTAATGAATGAGACTAAGGGACAGTAGGTACCTACATTAAGTATTTAACTACTATGTAATTAAATTATCAAGACGTCGAATTTCGGACGACATTTCTTAGTTTTTGGTATCTCTTAGAACTTTTAAGTAGGACACTGGCTCTATGTAATATAACGACTTCGAGGACATTTTTACGTCTGAAATAGATTACATTTTTGTCCAAAGATACACTGAAATTAGAAGAAATTGTCGCGGATATAAATATAACGGAACGTCAGATGTTTTTTTGCTGTAGTTTGTTAGTAATCTTATCTAAATATTACTGAATAGTTTCTGGTTAACACATTAAGGGTGGGTTGCACCATCCTACTTTAACTTTGACAAACGTCAAACTCCATACAAAAAGCATCGGTTATCGTCTTAGTTACCGTTAAAGTTAGGTGGTGCAACTCAGCCTAAAATTCGTACCATCGTTGTACGATCTGTTAAGAATTGAACCACTCATTATGTCTGTAGGCGATGTAGGTCGATGGGTGAACGAAAGATGATGAAAAGATGAAATGAAAGTCCAGTTTGTAAGTAAAAAACCGAAAGGCGCGTCCGGGGGTGCGTACGTGCGTTCGCGGAAGTTGTTGGATCACGACTGGCGCGGCTCTCGGCCGCGTGTGCGGCGCGGTGGGCCGCGAGTGGCTTCTGGCCATAAAAGGACAGAGGCCTCCGGCCAATCAGCGGGCCGCATCGCTAACGGCTAGCTCTAGCATGTTCTAGGCGCGACAATATTATTACCTACGCGCACCCGGAGTTGCGTATTATTTATTGATCCCAAAATCAAACAAACATTGTAGGTAAACAACCGTATTAAACATTTGGATATAGTATAGGTAACATTTTAGTTTTGTAAGAATAGATAATTGCACATAGGTACATATAGCATTCTAAGGACATATTTCAGTTACTCAAAGAGGCAAATCTAGTAACAGATAAGTTTCATAAACAAAACACAAAGATAATTAATAATTATTTTAGTTACATATTTCTCAAGGTACATAAATACGTAGATCTAGCTACCTAGTATCTACTCTTGATGGCCATCGTCAACANTATTTTATTATAGACTAAAAAAAATGTTTCACTATTGTAACTAGGCATCTACATATATGTTCTCAGTGTAGGTGTATTTACATACCGCAGTGGACTCGTAATAAGCGTTGCGGAACTGTAGCCAGTCGAGGGGGTCACCGTAGTAGATGGGTAGGTCTTTAGAGGTGGCCAATCTTGACAACAGTTGGTCATTACGGCTCGTTACAGCAGCGTTGGAGATTGCACCTGTGAGTGCCGCCGCCAGCTCTTGGATATCAGTACGCTGCTGGGGCGCGGTGCAGGTGGCATTCTCCTCCCGACGTGTCGCTTCAACGTGTGATGTGTCAAGCCAGGCCTCAACTTTCTCAGACGATGATATCACAGATCTCTCCGAGCCGAGCTCGGCAAGGTCGGCGTTCAGCTCCATATCAATGAGCGACTTACGAATTGCCGCTCTTTTAGAGGCGGCTTCCGCGGCGGCTTTCGCGGCGGCTTCCGCGGCGGCTTCTGCGGCTTCAATGGCTTCCAATTCGACTTCAGCCCTCTTTCGTGCAGCTTCAATTGTGAGCCGTCGTGCTGCAGAGGATGTGCGCGTGGACCGGCTACCCTCACTTTTCAGCCTTTCACTCCCCACTTTCACTTCAGTGCCAACCTTCAGTGCCTCGTCTTCGTCCTTCAACTGTCGGCGTGTTTTGACTCCGGCGCCGCGGGGGGTGCGAAGCAGAGACATATTGTTGACGTATCACTGAGTTCACATATCGATGATTCGGCTCGTAGGACCACTTTGTAGGCGATGTAGGTCGATGGGTGAACGATGATATGAATAAATGAAATGAAAGTCCAGTTTGTAAGTGAAAATAACCGAAAGGCGCGTCCGGGGGTGCGTACGTGCGTTCGCGGAAGTTGTTGGATCACGATTGGCGGCTCTCGGCCGCGTGTGCGCGCGGTGGGCCGCGAGTGGCTTCTGACCATAAAAGGACAGAGGCCTCCGGCCAATCAGCGGGCCGCATCGCTAACGGCTAGCTCTAGCATGTTCTAGGCGCGACAATATTATTACCTACGCGTACCCGGAGTTGCGTATTATTTATTGATACCAAAATCAAACATAAACATTGTAGGTAAAAAAACCTACACTAAAAAGTAGAAAAATAATTACTAATTACCTACTTATTTATAAGGACGAATTAATATTTATGTAGGTATACCATGATTGATACTTCTGGAGTCGGTGCCAAGATTATGAAACATGTAAGGTTTGCCTGCACCGACTCCAAAGGTATCAATCATGGTATACCTACATAAATATTAATTCGTCCTTATAAATAAGTAGGTAATTAGTAATTATTTTTCTACTTTGTAGTGTAGGTTTTTTNTTTATTGATCCCAAAATCAAACATAAACATGTAGGTAAACAACCGTATTAAACATTTGGATATAGGTAATATTTTAGTTTTGTAAGAATAGATAATTGCACATACATATAGCATTCTAAGGACATATTTCAGTTACTCAAAGAGGCAAATCTAGTAACAGATAAGTTTCATAAACAAAAACACAAGGTCAATTAATAATTATTTTAGTTACATTACGTATAAATATATCTCAAAGAACATAAATACGTAGGTCTAGCTACCTAGCATCTACTCTTGGTGGCCATCGTCAACANATAATTATTTTAGTTACATTACGTATAATATCTCAAAGCACATAAATACGTAGATCTAGCTACCTAGCATCTACTCTTGGTGGCCATCGTCAACAACCAGGCTTGACTGATATCAGTTAAAACTTTTTTTAAGTACAGTAATCCATATCAAGTTCCAGCACTGGCCCATTTATTGTCCCGAAGCAGTTGTAGGGTTAATATTGGGACGTGTAAAAGTGCTTTTTAAAAGCCCATTTGCAAAAATAAATGAGTTGTATGAGTTTTTTTATAAGTCAACCGCACCACAGCAAAACATCATAAGTTCGGAAGCAAGCGTTGTTATCTCAGTATATCTCGCACCTCAGGGCTCCAACAAAGGGCGCAATAGCCGTCCGCGTGAGATACGCGCGCGTAAACATTCGCACCGAAATTAAAATCCGCTTGCCCTAATATGTGAAAGTCTTTTACGTTATAACGTTATGTCGACGACACGTTATTTTGTCCTAAATTATACGTCTATTTACTCTGTAGCTGTTTTAGAAATTATTTTGTGTGTGTATTTTCTTTAATAAACGTTCAGTTATGAGAATGGCATTTATTTCTAGGCGATACCAATAAACTGCCGTCCTCAATATGAGCTTACGAGACTTAATTCTAGTTAGGTATTCTCGGCAAAGGAAACTACAAAAACTTGCAATAACAGCGACAAACAGCGACACAGCAACATTATTGGGAGGAACATCTGTCGCTGCGAGATGAAATTTTAGACGTCACTAGTACGACTTATTGTCGTAATGGAACACTGTTGTCCCTTTAGGGCGAGTTTACAAGGCTGGACGTGTCCTGCATGGTTAAATTTACAAATATGAGCATGAAAAGAGAGGAGCTGTTTAGTAACTTAGAAGTAAGTCACAAACTTGTTGCTTATGCTAGGGCACGCTTAAGGGTAACAGAGAGAACTCTAGGTTGCTCATACAATATTAATTAACATTATATCATGGCAAGCAATTAAAAATAATAATAACGCTGCTAATCAAACGTCACTCAGTAAATTTGTAAAAAATATTATCTGTTTCCGGCCTTCTTTCAACAGTTAAAACATACCCTATGGATTAGGTGAGATTTTGACACTATCAGATGGGGTGAAAATTGACACGGCCCATTTTAGTGGTGTCTGAGCCTTCGCGATCCTTTTGAATAACGAACAATATGAGAGGCGGGGGGTCAGTTTACCTACTAATGTACTGTCAGCGACAAAATAACAAAACCCTATCTAATAAGCTGCTAGTTTAGTTATTACATTTGTAAAAAATAAAACTCGTTAAGCTTCAGTAATTCGTATACGTATGCATTCCCGCCCCACTTAACGACCCTAGGGGAAAGTTAAATATTTTTGAATCACAGTTAATGACAATACCATAGCTTTAAAAAAATTAAGTGTAAATTAAAAAGACATCTGTCGCAATTAATCGTCCCACCATCTGGTACACAAAAGTAATGTTTCTACTGTATTAAGCGCGTGGCCTCACTTCCAGCGTTAATAACGTTGACAAGGTTTTAGTTTACACAACGTTATTCCTATTAAGAAGGTAAGAAACCCATCTAATTTACGGATTCGCTACTTCAAAAGACAAATACAAATAGATATCATTAGCAAGTGGTGGCCCATTGACTGAACCTCTGTGTGACACTGTTTAGTTTTTATTGTGAAAAATGCTTGTAAACCATGAAGTATATTCATAAAGATAAACAAATGAGCTTTATTAGTGTAACTGCACTATTAAATATTATCCGCTGCGCTTAAGGACACACCCTAAACTCGATACAGCAGACAATGCTCTGGACAAAAGTGAAAGGACGGTTCTTGAGCGAAATACCAAGTAAGTAATAAGAGACGCAAGGAAATCCGCCGTTGATCCCGCTCGCCGCAAAAAGCTGCGGTATTGTGCACCAACAATACAATCCCACAATTCCGGCTATATACGAAGACGGGGTTTGAAACGATATTTTATCTGAGTATTCTGAAAAGTCTATTCAATCAAAATCCGACTTTTATTTGATACATTTTTAGAAAAATAATAAACATCAAATAAAGTTAGTTTAAAAATAATATGAACTGAAACCTTTTTCGAGGAAAGGAACATAAGCCTTTGCATATTAATATTTTTTGTTCAATAAACTAGGTATAGAATTTAAAATTAGATTACATTTTATAACTAAGTTAACAATAATCACATCAATATTGTTTTAGCCTAAATTGTTCGCATGAAATTGAATTAGAATTTAATTTCATTGTATAATCTAATCCTATGCGATCTTCAGATCGTCACCTTTACAAACTAAAGTGTTCTAAAGTGTGACTGTCTCTTGAAAGCTAATTTAATGCATTTTCAGCGCCGAGTTTTGTTCTCAAACACTCGTAAATTAGGTTTTGAGCCGTAAAATTAAGTGCGTTGAATAAACAGCTCTGATTGTTCGTTACTGGAATTAATTACCATTGTTTGACGACCAACTTTGGGTTTTAGGCACAACTAAGACACGCATAGTGGGTTCTTTAACTTCAAGAGATAGCCACGTTCTTGAAATCAGTCAATCATTCAGTACGATGTAAGTAAATCCATTATTTGTTGTACCGCATTATGATTAAGTCTAGCAAGAATTCCTATGGAAATCCTTGGGGGGAGGCCTTTGTCCAGTAGTGGACGTTCTTTTGTGATGTTACATATCAATTTTGCCATTGCACCTCCAAATACTATCAAATAGAAAAAAGTGCCAAACCACAGAAAAATGTGAATTGTAAATATTTAACCAAAATATTAGTTATATTATGATTTAAATCTAGTTCGTCGTCGTTTCAGCCAAATGACGTCCACTGCTGGAAAAAGGCCTCCCCCAAGCTCTAAAGTTAAATCTAGTTACGAATAGGTTTATGGACTCAATTAATTGTAAGCTTACGGAACATCATTTATTTGGATGGTAGGTTTAATCAAAACCGCAAATCTAGATAAAGTTATTTCAGATAGCTGTTATGAAAATGGATGATGTTTAATGTGAGTCTATTACTATCTCAATTAGAACTAATGCTTTTAACAATGAAATCAAGTCACTCATCCCATGACGGTTTCGAATTTATTTGTTATACTGATGGATAATATAATAATATTTAAATTACTTGTGAAATTGTGGGCAATAATTTTGAAGATAAAGTTATAATATTAGTAATTTAAGTAACCAGTGGGCTGGTTTTGTAGGTGGATAACTGTTTCGTAAGTCTACCTGTTAAGGTAATTATGATCATAAATTTAAACCTACGATATAATTATCACCGAATACAAATCCTTAATAGGGGGTCTAGAGATATCAAGTTACTTTCACGTGTAAGAAAATATAAAATTTTGTAAGCATAGCGTGTCTACGGTTCATCGTCATCGAGAACTAGAGTTAAGTTGAAGTAAAAACAAACAGATTCGTCACGAAGGCGGCCGCGCGGAGTGAACGAAGTAAATTTGATGAAACGCAAACAATTAGCGCCGGTGTCGTGCTGCGGCTTAATACACAATGTACACTCGGATAAATATATCTGAGTTTTTTGATTGCCCAATAATGTACTTCCTCAGTACCATTTTACCGATTACTACAAAAATAGTTCGCAGCAACCTACCTACTTACTTCAATTTTTAATGCTCTGAAAGAATCTTTACGCAGGACTATGAAAATCATAATGCAACAAAAAATCATAATACACATTTTGCAAACTGGCCTCGGTGAAAATCTTTTCATCTGAATAAAAAGTTTGATTACCTTATAATACTAAACTACTGTAAAAACATTGTAGCCTGACTGTACCAAAAATTAAAACTCATAGCGTTTGGTTCGGCGCGTTAGAAGAACGAACCATGGAGCTGTGCGTAATGTAGGGTTACCGTGTACAATCGGAATTATGTTAAAGCCATGTTTACGTAAGCTGACATTCTTGGCATATTTGTAGCATAAGGTTTTTGAGCAATGTTTGTATAAAAATTACAGCGTTTTTTCTAATGAGAGGTTTTATTATTCCTTGTTGGTGAAAGTCAAGCTGTTCACAA